TAAACAAGGTGGTCTGCTAATTTGGTATTTAACCAGCAGTCGTTCTTGCACTAAAGGCAAGAGAAATTTCCTTGAAAAGAGAAGGATAATTAGCAAATCTGTAGAAATGACTATTTATCTTTAAATTTTACATATTGCAACAAAGAAATCTTGTGATCACTGAAACTCGACAAGGCCAAGTCTAACAGAAGCCATGACTTGGGTGAAAGGTTTATGGTACAGAACTACTGACAACTATTTTGATAATAAATCAGAGCAAATTGCATGCTAAAGATTATGTATAAGAGATTAGGATAAGGGATAAAGATAACTCGCCGTAGCTGTGCAGAAAACGGGGCTGAAAAAAATTTAGTTATTTGACAATTTTTCGGATGAATGTAACATGATTGTCTCAGTAAATGTAAGTATCTTCTACACGACAAGTAAGACATCCTATAAAAATTGATCCTAATCCGTCATTCAAAGCAAAAATTAATAAAACACATCAGTGTTATGCTTCAGTATGAAATACAGTATTCAACTAAGTTTGCACTGAAAAATGTTTGCGTGACAACTCAAACATGATTGCATAATGGAACTCACATTTACAGTACCCTGTTGGAATGTTTTTATCCATCCTCTTTTTATTAGTATCAGTCACTATTTATTATAGTGTTTCATTGTAATGCTAGCGTACTTGTTTCATAATTGATTCGGGCACTTATTGTACGGTGAGAATTATTTTCTTTTTTTTTCTTTTTTTTAATTATAAGGATTATTAAGCTAATTACGATATCACAGACGAAACAAATCATTTCCAATTTTCATTCCCGTCATTCTATCCCAGAATTACTGATAACTGGAGTGAATTATATCAAATAGGAAAAAGGAGTAATCCGAAAAATTCAATAAGAAAAAGAAAGGATGAGGATTTCGTTACACCCCGGTAATTCCTTCCGGATTCTCTCTTTCAAAAATTTCCTTTCCCTTGACAAATTGAACATATATTGGGAATGACAGGTGTTTAGGCGGGAACGATTTTATTTGCAGCAATTAAAAATTTGTGAAAGAATCAATATAACACAATCAATAAATACTCAATATATAAAATCAATATATACAAGTATCAAGAAATAAACATTTCAAGAATTTTTTCTTTTTCAACTCCATTGATGCAAAAATATAGCATAGTTTTTGCTTGTACTATTTCAGTACTATTTCAACCAAATAATAAACAACAATAAATTATGCATGAAATTTCAGCACAAATCAAGAGATAGCCGAAAATGAAACGATTGTAAAAATAATATGGATAGGGAAGGTTGCCATGAATTTTGAGTAGTTATAAAACATTGGTAAATTCAAATACTGTGAACACTGCTCTAGCTTTTTATAGTTAAAAAAAAAGAAAAGTGAGACGAAGTTGGTTTTGTTCATTGTTGAAATCATTAACCTCGATTTAATTAGGCGGATATCCATCCATTCATATTATACAAAAGTTGGTTTATTGATCAGTTGTATCATTCATTCTAAATAGACGACATAGATATCTATCCACAAAGTTCATGAACAGTAAAATGCAATTGACGTGGGATGATAGAAAAAGAAGAAAAAATTCTTACTTATGCATGAGTTTGATGAAAAAATGATGCACGTGCCGTTGACAGTTCGACAGATGAATGAACAATGCCATCATAGCAGTACCTGGTTGACAGTACGTAATGAACGAATTTTCCTATAACGAATAAAACATCAACTTTTTTGTGTTGGAAGAAAGACAATAAAATTAATTGTTCCTACACGATTTCACTGCCAATAATTGAACTGCTAAACATTTAAGATGATGATGAATATGGCAATGTAATCGAAGGTTACCAATTTTTCACAACTGAAGAACATACTGGTAGGCAATAAGGAACCGACAACGCAATACCATATCCAATTCCGTATCCGATTCCGCATCCAGTTGCGTATCCAATCGCGTATAAAGTCCCATATCCAATCCCGTATCTAAATCCGCAATCAGTTCCGTGTCTATTTGTATAACTAGTTCTGCTCCTTTGTACAATTTCGTGTCCAGTTCCATATCCGATTTCGCATTCAATTCCGCATCCAGCTCTACCCCCAGCTTCGTATCCAGTTCCGTATTCAATTGCCTGATTCATACTGTCACTTCCATCAGCTACTGTTTCTGTTTGAGCATATGAGCTAGTCTGGAAATTCTCAGATGGCAAAATAACAAGAATCTTGTATTTCCGTTACGGTACAAAATATGATTTTTTAAAAAGAGTGCAAGTTATGAATTAGTTGATGTTTTTTACTTCCTTTTTACTTCGTAGTTGATGTTTTTTACTTCCAAATATGAATAAAATGTATCAAGCAGGAAATGATATGGCGCAAGTTGTCGACCAATGTCAAATACTGTAAGAAATGAGTGTTGAAGTTAGGAAAGATTTCGTTGAAATTGTTGGTATTCAACGTTGAAATTTCTCAACGGATTCATCTATCATTATAATATCGTTAATTAGGCCATGTCTATTATCAACATTTCACATTGATGAAATAGGTATGTATATGCATGTTGACAAATTACTAACTGTGGATTTGAGACATAAGCGTTATATTGGAAATACTGAATATACAGATGTGATAAATTTAGAACGATATCTATACGAAATGAATTCATTCAGACAAATATGAGAAAATAGACTTAGAATAATTTTAAAAAGCATCTAATGGATTGATAAAATTGTTGCAACAAATTTAAAGAGGTGTCAACAGAATTGTCACCATTAAAAGCATATCATCGCAATATTTCACATATTCATTCAAAGTAAAAGTGATACGCTAGATTTAATTCTTTCGAGGCAATATAATTCAGAATGAAAAACACTGTAGAAATAAGAATTGCCGCACATTTACAGGATGGAAGAGCAATTTGAAAATGCTCTGCGGCTTCCACTTATGCTTCTATAAAAAGTCCAAAGGTTAATCCTATTGTTATTATTTATGGCTTTTGAGAGATTGGCATTTTGACATTGACATGAGAAAATTTGATCTGAAAAAGTGACTGTTAGCTGAGATATAACGTTAATTTTCGGTATTTTTCTCTTTTCAATTTAATTTATTTCCTCGTTATCGTATGCTATGCATTCATTACGTCTCTTCATAGATCTAAATTTGATTGGCTAAAGGAGAACAGGCTAAAAATTTCAACTCTTCACTTTTCCCTCTACTTAATTAATATTGATCTATCAACCACAAAATATTTTCTAAAAAGAAGAGAGAAAACCAGAGATGAACTCGTAGAAATGGCAAAACAACATCTGATTGGCAAACTCGCGAACTTTATGCATGTTTTAATATTTTATATGAAATTCATCCATCGTATCGTGTAACCATCGCTCTTTCTTCGATGAAAGCATTTTATACGGATTGAAGAGAAAACGGTAAAGGCATTCCATCGTTTGATACAATTGTAATTCATTTACATATATAACATTAATTGATAAATGACTAAATAAGTGTCTGTCATGTAATTGATTGATTAATTGCCCTTTGATTGAAGGCAAATTTACGGATCGATGAAAACATATTTCTTGGTGTCAAAGGTTTTTTTGATGAAGGAAGTCATCAAGAGTAATGGAAAGGGTGAAGGTCAGCATCAAATCTACTTCTTTTTGAAATCTAACAGAAATGTACAGAGGGAAATCATATTACACATGTCATCATAAAAGATAACGTGGGAGTGAAATGAATTATTGTTACTGTTAATGGTATACTTCAAATTGGTTCAAATCGGAAAGATCGCGAGTTTGCCAATCAGATGTTGTTTTGTCATTTCTACGAGTTCATCTCTGGTTTTCTCTCTTCTTTTTAGAAAATATTTTGTGGTTGATCGATCAATATTAATTAAGTAGAGGGAAAAGTGAAGAATTGAAATTTTTAGCCTGTTCTCATTTAGCCAATCAAATTTAGATCTATGAAGGGACGTAATGAATGCATAGCATACGGTAACGAAAAAATAATTACTTTTTCTCATGTCAATGTCAATCAATTCCTCTCAAAAAGCCATAAATAATAACAATAGGATTAACCTTTGGACTTTTTATAGTAAGCATAAGTGGAAGCCGCAGAGCATTTTCAAATTGCTCTTCCATCCTGTAAATGTGCGGCAATTT